AAGTATCCGCCCGTTATTAATTAAAGTATCCGTGCTGCTATATTATGCATCCGCCCATTAATTTAAGTATCCGCCCGTTATAAATTAAAGTATCCCGTTATTAATTAAAGTATCCGCACTATTAATTAAAGTATTCGCGCTGCTATATTATGTATCCGAAAAACACTAAAAAAAGGGATTTTTGGTAATTAATGAAAGAGTAGGGAAAGGAAGTAATTTCTTTCTTATACTATGTCATTTGCCTAATTTTTACTTATTATTACTCAGCATCAGCCCACAACCTTTAAAATCCAGCCCATCCAAAACGTTTCAAAACCAACCCAGCATCAGTTACATTTTTGTATATGAGTCACTTCCTTACAAAATTTAAGAGGATTTATTCATCACTTCATTATAGAATTTGAAAAGATTTTTTACCAATAACTTGTGAATACTATATAAACAAACATACAAACTATCAGATTGGAGAATCATGTCCTAAACATGAGTCAAAGACAACTTTGTAATTTCAAATATCAATATTGCTACTATTTGATGCTCCTCTAATCCTATTAAATTATCAACACACTTATTACCATTCAAGACACAAAACTTCAGTCATTTGGGCATGAAATAGATCATTTGTTTATTACCATTCAAGACACAAAACCTCAGCCATTTGGGCATGAAACAGATCATTTGTTGAATGTTACACATATACCATTGGTGAAGAGGTTGATCAGAGAGTTTTTTTTTTATCATGATGACGATTGGAAGCATGACTAGACATCAATGGTGTCTAACGTATCTTGAAGTCACAAATAATTTGACATATTTTGTAAGCATAAACTCTTGTATGAATGTAGTGTTTTTTTTCCTTCCATCTTCTTTATCATTTCTTCATTGTAGAAGAAAATGATGAATTAATTTAGAGATAAAATTGAGTATGGAAGTTTTTTCATATAATTAGAAGGAGATAAAGTAAAATTAAAATAAATTATAGATCAGACTAGAAGTAAGTAATAATATATAGATACGACAGTAATGGGAGAAAATGGAAAATGAAAAGAAAAGGAAATTGTCAAGAAAAAGAAAGGAAAGAAAAAAATTCATATAATATGATTGAAATTTAAGTTTAATTTGTAGTTAATGGTTCATTTAGTTTGTTCCATATAAAAGGAAAATTTCATATTATATGATTGAAATTGAAGTTTAATTTATAGTTAATGATTCATTTACTTTGTTCCATTTATAGTCTTGATTTATTTCATATTAAATTTCTCGAAATTAATGTAGAATAAATGACAAATTGGTCAAAAGGAAAAACATATTACTTTTTTTTTTTTTTTTTTTAAGCACCAGCAACATTTTCAACAAAATCTGATAATTTTTTTTTTTGTTTTTTTTTTTTTTTTTTTTTAAGCACCAGCAACATTTTCAACAAAATCTGATAATTGTCTCAAAATTTTCAAAAAAATCTCTACTAAATTTGATGGTAAAGAGAAAAACAGAAAAAGGTCGGTTACAACGAGCCAACAAACAGCAAAACCAAAGTTTTCATCCTTTTCAACATGACTCAATAAAAGAAACCAAGAACTTTTCCACCAACATTCTTTCTCCTAGCCTCTTCGTGGTCCATGATACCAGCTGAGGTAGTCAGCTCAATCTCCTTGACTCCAACATCAAAGCGAGGACTAATGACACCACACTTGTTTAGCCTTCCATTCAGTTCGACAACAATCTTTCCGGACCTATGATCATCGACGTACTCAAATTCTCCGATGTAACCATGCTTCTGCATAACAATGAGGAACTTGATGATGACTTTTGATGAAGGTCTAATCATGACCTGACGCTTTCCCCTCTTTTCAGCATTGTACATGTTTTTGAGAGCATCATTCAGCACACTAACTCTGACCATCTTTTCTTATCTAAGCTTTGATTCGGTAGAGAAAGAGATCACAAGAGTTGTTGCTGCGGAGGAGCAAAGAGGAAAAAAATAAAATTGGGTTAAAACATATTACTTAAATAATTCTTAGAATGGTAGGAGAAGAAAAAGGAAGGAATTGATCTTCTAATTAAAGCGAAAATTGGGTTAAAAAAATTGTTATTTGCCAATTATATTAAGTGTAGTGTAATTAAAAATATGACTGAATTCATAAAAATTTATTAATATGGACTTAATATTACACACACACACACATATATATATTGCTTAATTTTAGAATATTATATTAATTTAAATTCAATTGAATTTCAAAGATGAGTCAAATTAATTCTTGGTAGACGAAAAAATCTCACATAATTTAAAATAAGATAATATCATATAACCAGTTAATTTACATAACCAATTCGAATGAATAAATATAAAATTTCTTTACGACTTAATTTTTTTTAATTTGTTGATTTTTTTTAAGTCCTTCTGTAATTCTTATATTTATTAATGTTATAGAGAATTTGTACTCGTACAAAAGAAAGAGGAAATTTAAACATACAAAAATATTTTCAACATAATATAGTATATTGTTATTTTAAAATATGACCTCTTATTCCATTTAACTCATCACAATAATGCTTTGCTCAATTATATACATATGAATAGTTGGCACTTAAAAAGATGTAAAAATATCAATATCATCTTATATATCCGATATTAACCTAAGATAAATATTACACACTATATCTTATAAATATATTTTATAGCCGCGCGAAGTGCGGACAATTTCACTAGTTAAATGAATAATTCTAGTTGTGCTATGAAGTCATGAAGGTATTCTAAGCACATAGGCTGAACATACACTTATATAAGCCTAGTCATTTTAATCTCATTCTCTTCAAAGTATTACTCATGCAAATTTGATCTAACGAATAGTTGCATTAAATAGTTCTGAGTTTCAATTTATGTGACATATTTTTTAAAGTTCGTTCTAATAAAGATAACAGTTTTAAATGTAAAAAGTTAATTTTATACTTCTCATTTTACTCTTCATGATAAGAAACTTTTATCACTATACATATGTTATGACATTTAATTTAAGGTAACAAAATTATTATTTTTATGATCGCGGTGTCCGAGACAACTTTCTTCTACGATATCTGTCACCTCCCAACAACAACATGTACAAGGTAACTCTATCCACCAAAACTAGATAACAAATTTTAAAAGTCTTATTATCAAATAATTACTCTGACATGTTTTAGATCACAAACTTTTAAAAAAAAATATTTATTTATAGTTTTATTTTGATTCAAACTATGTTAGATTAGTGAGTTAAATGTGCTCACGAATCATTAACTTTTTTCACGTGATTCTTTCCTTAAACTTCTACTAGTGGTCGGAAAAATAATTGACAAAGAAAATTTATTGGTTGAATAGATTCAAATTTTCTTACAAGCTACCCTAGATCTACCAACGTAATTCAATTCGAATAATAGCATATGGATCACATATTCAACAGTGAGAAAAGTGAAAGATACCTAAAACAAATGTAAGGTGGGAACCTTAGTAACACGAAGTAGTTGAAGAAAATCAGTCGTGTCCACTTAGCTTTTACTATTATCGTACCAAAAAAGAGAACATTAAGACCCCATTTGTACTAAATCAAGGAGACATCTAGTGTGAGCATGTTATCGAAAAGATCATGGAAGATATGTTTTTTTTTTAATCTAGGGATGTGACGTTATCGATTTATGACATAATTTGAAAATACGTATCTAAATTGAGTCTAAGTAAATCAAACGATTCTCGAAAAAAAAGATTGATAAAAACAAAACATGCTTACGCCTCACGTGGAATAGTGGCCCTACAAAGCAAATTTAAAGCGCGCTATTATTGGTGCTAATTATTTAATAAAATATAGTTAAACAAGTTTTCCGAGATTAGTTTTGGATACACTATATCCGATGTGCTTGACCAGTGCATCTCGATTACACTCGCGTTAAAAAGGTTGTTTTTCCAACAGTTTGTAATTTAATATAACTTAAACCCATAAATAAAGAAGAAAATCACACTTAAAACGATTTTGAAAGATCCTACGTATTTCTGATCATTTAAAAAGCATAGCAAACAAACTGAATTCTCTTCTATTTACCCCTACCTTGTGCTGAATATATATTTGGACTTTTGCCCCTACATTGTGCTGAATGCTGATATTCAATTTTTTGCACTCAAAGCAAATAACTTTCTCACGGAGTGTAAATTTATATATTCGTATCATAGTGTTTCAAAAGTTATGTCAAGACATAATTTCAGTTTCTAAAGAACTTATGCTCGGCCACTAGGCAGAAGTTAAATTTCTAAAAACAAATATTATTAACCAACTCATTTGAAGATCAAAAGGTAAGATCAGTATATTTCATACCATCAGACAACGAAACTTACACTTGTTCACTAATTATGATGGTTCTCCAGGACATCTTTCCTCCTTTCTTTTCTTCTTACTTGTAGGGGTCTAGACCCCGACAAATAAAAGTCAATCCATTTAAAAGACAAAACATATTGTTTTATGTCATATTATAGCTTTTTAAAAAAATGAGATCTCTCAAATTTAGAGGCCTAAGCACCTATTGTATTTCTAAAGAACTTATGTCTAAAAACAAAAATCATTGACCAATTCATTTGAAGGACAAAAGGTGAGGTCAGTATTTTATACTATCGAACAACAAAACTTACACTTGTTCACTAATTATGACGATTCACCGGAGCCTTTTTCCTCTTCCCTCTTTTGCTCACTCGAAGGGGTTTAGACCCCCACAAATAAAAGTCACCTCATTTAGAAGACGGAACATACAATTTTATGTCCTATTATAGTTTTTATTTTATTTTAAATGAGGTCCCTCAAATTTAAGGGTTTAAGCACATGTAGTGTTTCTAAAGAACTTATGTCTGGCAAAGGCATAAGTTTAATTGCTAAAAATAAAAATTATTGACCAATTCATTTGAAAGGCAAAAGATGAAGTCAATATTCCATACTATTGTTGGACAACAAAATTTGCACTTATTCACTAATTATGACGATTCACCAAGAACACTTTCCTTTTTTCTTTTTTGCTCACTCGGAAGGGTCTAGACCCCCACAAATAAAAGCCAATCCATTTAGAAGACAAAACATACAATTTATGTCCTATTATAACTTCTTTTTTTTAAAATGAGGTCCCAAATTTAGGGACCTAAGCACCTGTTGTGTTTCTAAAGAACTTATGTCTGGCCAATAGGCACACATTTAATTGCTAAAAATAAAAATTATAAACCAACTCATTTGAAAGATAAAAGGAGAGGTCAGTAGTACTCCGATCCATACTATTAGATAGCAAAACTTACACTTATTCACTAGTTATAACGATTCACCCGGGCCTCTTTCCTCTTCCCCTTTTTACTCACTCAAAAGGATCTAGACCCCTACAAATAAAAGTCAATCCATTTAGAAGACAAAACATACAATTTTATGTCCTATTATAATTTTTTTTTAAAATGAGGCCCCTCAAATTTAGGACCTAAGCACCTGTTGATATTTTGTTACCCTTTAGAGGGTACCCTAGGATGAGGGTAGGGAATAGTGTCAAGTCATTCCAAGCAAATAAAAGGCTAAAAGTGGGAAGCCATACTATTCCATTATTTTCTTTGATAATCATAATGCTATGTGTCGTTATACGTACAGTAAGATTCTTCTGATTGTTGTGAGTGGACAGTAAGAACTCAATAACATCATCAAAGTTAGTGGAAATTAAAGAGCCACATCCTTATTATAATAAGTATGAAATAACAGGCAACCCACCTTAGCTGTTTGATAGCTCCTCTTCCCTGCTGCATTTATGAATTCTCTTTATCATATTCTACATCTAATTAATGACTAAAATTTGAAGTTTATGAATTTTTAATTTTAATATAAACAATATAAAGTCTAAGAAAAAATTTATTAGATTTGTCTGAATTCCATACGATTTAACATTGTATATAGCTTCCGTGTCATCTCACACACTATATCAAAAACAACTTTTAGTAACAAATAATATATTCATTAACAAAGAGTGTTAAAGTCTTTATCGACATTAATTAATTGTCATTAGATTCATTGTCACTATAGATTTTAGCCTTTTAGGGACGCTTACAAAAAATGTTAATTGCCGCTAAAAATACATATTTTGCTGTAATTAAACTATTGATATTTATTAATTGCCATTAAAAATCATTTTTAATATAGTGACAATACCCGAAGTCATTGTAGTTAGACTTGGTGCATGATTAGTTGTTTCATTATGAATGTAATTTTTTTCTAGACAAGAGGGGGTTGTTCAAGTGGTGACGAAGGTCTCCAATTATAAGGTTGTACTGGTCTGTGAATTTGAGTTATCAGGAGAGTAAAAATCGAAGGATATATTAGTTCATTAAATGAATTTGCCACTTGTGATCGACAAAATGGATGGACTAAGAATAAGTATTTATTTGATGGAGCCAGATCATCCAACCTACCCCTTAAGTTTCTCATAATGAACAAGAATTCCAGAAATTTAGTTAAGTTACCACTTTTTGTTTGAAAACTTTTCACTTAAGAATACTACTTAGTTAACACCTTATCTTATTTAGAGGAGAGGCTAGCAACTAATGGCATGAAAATGATATCCATTACATCAAAGGGGATTATAAGGCCTCGTTTGTTTGTATTTAACGAAGGTGAATGGTTCAGATCTTAGAAGATTAATTAAGTATATTTGTTTGCATTAAAATTTTAGTATTTATTTGGTTTGAATAGGTCTTAGCTATTAAGATCTTGAACAAAATTTTCAAATCAGGTATTTTTGTGTGGATAATTTTGATCAATACTCTATCTACATCCCCAACCACTATTACTACACATCTCTATTATCACAATAATTGTCATCATTGTCAACCACCATTACCGTCGAGGACCATTAACCATCATCGTTGTCAACCACTATTGTCAGTTGTTGTCTACCACCTCCATCGTTATAACTAATCACTGCCACCATCACATCCGTCACCGTTGTCGCCACCATTGCCATCACCAAAGTTGCCATCTCCGTTACTACCACTATTGTGGCGAATCCATATTACTATCTTCATAATCAACTAGCATCGTCATCAATTATCACCAACACATCGTCAATCACCACACACATATATTCTTCATTTACCACCACCAACATCCCTATCTACTAATGTTAACCAACTCCATCATTACAACCACCACCATCATTACCAACCACCACAATCGTGCCACCCACAACAACATAAATTATCACTACCACCATTACTAGCCACCAACACCAACCATCACAACCACCACCAATACCAACCATCTTCGATATCACTAACAAACATATTCATTTACTTTTTAATCAAATAATAGTTTTATTTTGTTAAATTTAAATATTATTTCTAATATTTAATTATTTTTTTAAACTTGAATTGTATATTTATTATTTTTATAAATAAATTATGCACATTCAGATGTTGAAAAATAAATAATCTCAATTATTCGGTGTTCAAATCTAAAGACAATATCTAAATCATTTTGATATACACCCAAATGTCTCCTAAAATTAATCTCGAAATTAATTATCTGTTATCCCTCCTACCAAACGAGCCCTAAAAAGTATATTAAAACCAAAAGAGTCCAACAACCTTTGATTCCACCAACACACCAAAAGCATGAATAGTAACATTCAAACTAAAGGGGTTGCACGAGGTTTGTGCAGTGCATTTCCCTTTTTCTCCAAATATATATCCCCTTATAAATATAAAACCTCACCAAATGAAACCATAACCTTTCTACGTCAATATGCAATTAATTCATAGTGCTGGTGGATTATTCCAAAGGGATCGCATTGATCCTGTGTCCCAAATTAATTAACTGGGGTCTATGGGATCATGCGATCTCTTCGGAATTCTCCATATTACTGGCTCTAATTAATCAACGACTGATCGAGGATCTAGTATCAATAAATTCAGAACGAGTATGATTTATATAGTTCGAATTGAACTCCTTGCTAATCGTACAAATACTCCGAGGTGAGATTAATTTCATAATTTCTTCACTTGAGCACTCATATGTGTACTATTGTTATTTTGTGTAATCTAATTAAAAGTATTCCTCCTAATTCTTTTCACTTTTTTCTAATTAAATTAAAAATTCACATACGGTTTTTCATTTTCAAAAGTTGTTCTATAATTTTGAACTGTGAGTACTTGCTGTTCATCATCGTTTTTCTTAAAATAATTTCAGCCTTATACAATTCCATATTTTATTTTTTAACATAAATTGACTTTATTCTTTTCATTATATTCTTGTCACCCTGGTTTATCTGTCAATATAAACAAATTTTTATACTACTCATTTTTTATTGTTATAGAACATAGTCTATATATATGCAACTTGATTTTATTAACAATCAAAGAAATATTGTCAGAATACTTAACAATAGCTTCATCCTCTTGCATTCTAAGAGATTCAAAATCTCTTTTCAAATTCAAAATTTGTATTTGCCTGACTCGGACAATTTCTTGATATTCTTTTTTTTTTAACTTTTCCCAAGCTTCTTTTGTCGTCTCACAAACAATGATTTTAGAAAAAATCGAATCCGCAACTGAATTTTGATTTACAATTTTGACTTTGAATTTTTTAATTTTTTCATTCGAATGACATTTAATTTGAGTGAAGGTAGAATTTGCAGGGAGAGGTTGTAAGGCTATATCTTTCATTATTCAAAGAGAGACTATTGCTTGCCATTATTTTTGGTTAAAAATTGGTTTAGAAAAGTCTGTGCAATGAAAAAAGCACGAGTTAAAAAAGGGTTATATTAATTTAATATATTAAAATTAAAATTTAGATATTTAATTTTACTACGTGAAAATTACTATAATTGGAATTCTTATCATATAGTGGAGAAAGTATAACTTAAAATTTTGGCCAGACTTTATATAGTTTGACTCTCAAAATTCAAAGCGTGACAAATATTTTGAGTGAATTTTGGGGTAAGATTGATTCATTAAAGACATGATTATAAAGAATAAACGGGCGAGTTAATTGAGAGGGTGGATGTTACACACCAACGTAGAGCCATTGTTTCAAGAAGATCTTGGTGACTTCACCATTTCATGCACTATTGGGGTGTTCCACTTTGTTACAACCCTTTATGACCTATAGAGAAAAGTATCAACTTGATGTTTAACATCATTTTTAAGAATTTAGTTTTAGAAAATTCTCTACCTATAACTATGAGGTTGTTTTAATTTGGTGTATAAATAGTTAAGAGACCCATGTGAATTATCTATGATGTCCTTGTGAAAATGGACAAGTCCATTTTTCCCAGCGACCTCGTGATTCTAAATTGTGAGGTATTTATAATTTTGGATAGACCATTCTTTGCCACGAGAAGATCTATTTGTTTAAACAGAACCTTGTTCTTTTCTCTTTTTTTGGGCATTTTTTTTAAAAAATTGTTGTCAATCACCCTCTCATTAATAATAGGATTATTGTCCTCTTCATTGTTCCCATGGGCGGATCTGTGTCACACCACCCAGTCTTCTCGAGTGAAATTTTGTAGGTATATATATTTATAAGGAAATGTATAAATATTAAGCGTTACACCCTTATAAATAATGAGCCTTATTGTGAAAGTGGTTAAAACTCAAGTTTATTGTTTTAAGGATGCAAGTTTGAGCACTGTTGTGGGTTGTATTTTCTTAAAACTTTTTTTATCATGAAACTAGCGAATTTATTGTAAAAGAATGTGTGAATAAATATATTAGAATCCTAAACCTCTTGTAACTAAGATCTTAACTACATCAACTAGGAGTGTGAATCGGTCGGCTCGATTTGATTTTACGTATTATCGGTTCGATTTATTGGTTTTCGATTTTTAAATACACTAAACCAATAACCAAATCAATAAGATATTTTTTATCGGTTTTCGGTTAATCAGGTTTGGACCTTAACGGTTCGGTTTTCGATTTAACCAATAAGAAAATGTTTATCAAACAAATATATGACTTCTCTAATAAATTATTTGTGACAAGACATGTCACGCCCCGAGCCTACACCCTGGACGTGGCCGGCACTCGGAGACCATCGCTGGCCCCCAAGCGAACCCTTGTCCTGGCTTACTTAACTCAGCGGAAGACTTAACTCAACAAAATAAACTCAATGCAATAGTTTAAATGATAACATCTTAGCCAAAATGGCAACTTATGTCTCAAAACAAAGTATCTGCAAATACAAAGATGAGAGACTCAATACTAACTGTCTGACTGTCTATGAAACCTCTATAATACTGAGATGGATGTTGGGATAGACCCCACAACATCCTAATAAAGCAAAACTAG